TGTTGAAATTGGTTCCAGAAGTAGCGGTCGGATAGTAACACATTAAGAAAAAAAGTTCTCATTTCTTTGCATACTCGCTCTGCTTTTTGCGATTGAATATTACAACATTTTACCTCACTTTACATAGGAATCTATAAAGGTTTCTCGTTCAAAAAGCTATATCTCGTAATGTATTCAATTATCGAAATTTGTTGAAATCATTTTATTTTGACAAATAGTATAGCCTTGCCTTCTACCGTTTATTATTTTGTTACACCCGATAAAAGCTCTGCTTTTTTGTTTTGAAATTCGCAAGCCGGCACGTTAATATGCATATTATAATATTACTTCGCGGTGGAAAAGTGATATTCCATTCGCTTGCCAAACTCGAAATATTTATTGCCTTGCTACATGTTTGGTACCAAAATACTCGTTGAAAGCTTCTCTTTTCGTTCCGGTAGTCATTGCTTAGCAACACAATAGGGCCATTTATACGGAATAAAATAAGTCGCGACTTACACAAGACGTGTCTTATAAGCGGAATTATCGTATAAATGGTTCTTTACGACTCTAGTCTTATTTACTTGCTAAAGCTATGTTGTTTTTATTTTAATATGCAAGGCTAGTAATTTTACGTTGTTTCAAGTTTCAGGCATGTGTAGTAGACTTTTTATCCAAAATGATTTATTTAAGACGTGACTTAAATAAGAACAGCTAAAAATCCTGTTCTTATTTAAGTCTCGTCTTATCCAAGACGCGTCTTAAATAAGAATTTTGTACCTTTTATACGACAAACTTGCGTCTTATTTAAGTCGCGTCTTATGCAAGTCGCGACTTATTTTGTCTGGTATAAATGGCCCTAATGAGCCTGGTAAACTAAAGGCCACAACTTGAGTGCATACTTCACGCTTTGCTTTATAAACAACACTGACACGAATATTTGAAATTCCGGATGCTTTGATAGGTCGTAAAATGATAAATTAGGAATTCTTGTGGATAAACGGAAAAGCCGCTGACCGACTGGTACACTTGCACAATGTCCGTTATTTTTGGCCATGACAAACCACTAAAATAACTCTTAATATTCAAAATGTGGTGCCCCAAGTCATGTATACAATATATTTATTACGTTTCGGGCTTTTGGTTTTCTTATAGCTTTATTTAGGTTACATACAGTAATGTAAAATGTTTTCCCGCTGAACGGCAGGTATATCGAAAGTAGTTGATACTGGCAATTTAAGAGTCCGTCTCTGTAATTTCCGACCACTCGATACTGGTTCAAAAATAAACCCAGCCTTAAACTTTGTGTGTGGATTAAGAAACCCTTGCTTATCATCAATACAAAAGGGGTTTGTTTCAAATTTCAAAAGATTTCGATATTTGGGCAATTTTACGTGTGTACGTCGAAGCACGAAATTAGCATCGCTGCAACACACAAAAATTAGTTATCTTTGTCACGTTCTCGCGCTCTCAAAAATGATTCAATCCGAGATATACTCTGCAGGCCTGCAGTTTATTACACTAGCTCAGCATTTATGAACTCAAACTTTGGATGTCTTAAAACAACTTGGAGATAGTGCCGACTATAAATACGCGGCTAATCGACCGGGGGAAAAAGTAGCATTTCTAAATATATATTTTCTCCATACTGGCACAACTCTACTTATCAAGAGTTGTACACGCTTAATAATTACGAATAACAGCACTAGTTTCCGTAAAAACATCCATGGCTATCATCACTGGGACAAAATAAAACAAATTTGAAATGTGTGGATTTTACATACCTGCGCACGCTAGTTACGGCAATTTACATTCATAATTATCAGCTACAAATCGTAAAACAATCGCACATCAAATAGCTCGGAACAGTGGCTAATACTGCAAAATGTGTTGAAGTCAAGTGTCATTGTGTCAAGATGTAATGCGAGACTGTAGAAAGTCTCGCTTCATCATCTCCTTGCCGATACAGCGGCGCCACGTTTATAGCCGTTTTATTACAACTGTAATTCTATCCATCCTCCAAATTTGAATCCACAAAGAAAACAGGATCCTCCAGAGTACATAACAGCATAACTGTATTCAAATGCAGGCTGGCTGTATAAACTGTTCAAAGTCCATGATGTCCATCTAATTTGCAACAAATTCAATGCGACGTTTCATAGTATTTTGACATTTACGTTATCTGATAAGCAAGTTTGTGCCAGTGCTTCCACAACCACCTCTTCAAATGTCCTTTCACATTCAATTTCATAATCTCAAAATTTCTCCGCCACCGAAGACAAAAGAAAGAAAATTCAGGCAAATTTGAGTCAATTTATCATAGCACATGTTTTAAAATTAAGTCATACTGTAAGTACCCTCGATGTAGCCCCGGCGCAATGCTTGGCCCCAAGTAGGTCACATCCATTTTCGCTTTTGCATATATTAAACAGCGATAATTACACATCTTAGCGCAAAATGTGTTGAAGTCAAGTGTCGTTGTGTTGAGAACACTTTCAAGGATTTCTTTATGTTGCGAGACTGTGGAAAGAAAGATCGCTTCATCACCTCCATGCCGATACAGCGGCGCTATGTTTATGGCTGCTATCCAACTTCCAAAGCGGCCATAAAAACACAAAACAGCGTCCTCCATAGACATAATTTTACTCGAATGCAGGCTGTACAAACTGCATGAAGATGATGCATTTGTAACAAATTGAATGGGAACTTTATTTTGACATTGCGTTCTTTCTAATGATAAACAAACTTGCCAATTTTCGCCTCGTTTACCGTCGCTTGCAACTAGAGGTGAACAGTTGCGGTCGCGGATAAAAAATTGTCTATTCGCGTGAGAATCTTTATTACCATTTGCAAGCAACCGTTCGGCCCAAACATTTTTACGCGTTGTTTTACACTTGAAACATGCACTGGAAAATCCGCATGCTTTTTCGTGAATATTATAGAAACCACAGTTTGAACTTTGACTAGAACTAGCCATTGCTATAAAGGATATTAACGAACTGTCCTCAGTGCTTCCACTTCCTTTTGCAAGCTTGTTTCACCTTCATTAACCTTCCCGCAACTTCCTTCTCAATATCAACTCACAATGATTGCAATCACCCGCACTCCATGGCAACCAATAATAATCCATCAGCCGAAATCTGTGATCAACCAATCAGACGTTCCCAAAGGCTTCAAGAACGAGAACAGCATTCCATTCAAACATTCCAACTTTCTGATGAAGGCTCGAAGTACCGAGTCGAAAGCTCAAAATATTTAAATTAGAATCCAGAGAACAAAATAATTTGTATATATATATATATTTTATAAACAGCTTGTTCTCAATGAAAGCTGAGGTAGTTTAATAGCAATCAAGGTCCAAATTCTAAATGTTATGTCTATTGAGTTTGAGAGCATTATTTAATGCCATAATAGAATGTCATTAATTTTGTGTATATCAGAAAAATTATGTTTTTATACTCTATATATTGCTGTTATTCTTTTGCTTGATTCATGCATGGAGGTAAAGTAGGCATTCTATCTGTTTAGCTAGAGGCCAAATGTTTGACATTGCCATTGGCTTACAAACTTGTGATATAGTTTACTTTTGAAAATTACCAGTAAATCGGTTCAAAGCATATCAACATTTGCAAACAAGAATTAACAAATCTATCTTATGCCTTATTTTTTTTTATAGAAATATTAGAAATATAAAAACAGTATTTATAACTGTCAACTGACCTCTATAGTGACCGATTTGATCATCTTCAAAGCATGCGATTTTCTAGCTTTCTTCGTATCTCTGAGGATGGTTCTGAAATAATAAAAACAGTTATTGTACTATATTGTACTACAAAATTCCTCCAAATCAGCCTTTTGCCACACTATCCTACAGTATAAACAGTATGCAGTTTCTATGCATGTTCACAGACAATAAAACAATTGGTTTCAAAAGAAGTGAATAATGCAGAACATGAATATATGAATGTGAGCCCCCCTCCCCCAATTATTGAGCTACCGACGGGTCAAGAGTTTTCGCCAGTCATTGTCTGTCTGTTGAGTGTTGACTAGCCATTATTTTGAGCCCAGTTTCTTTGCTTGATATTAGGGGCGGAGGACAAATTTAACATTTCATATCTTTCAACAAGGCCATTGGAAGCAGGGGGAGGCTGGGGGGGGCTCAATCCAACAATTTCAATTTGTACAAAATGCTACCTTTCTGATTTTGGTTAGAACCATGACAAATTATATATCATTAGAAAGCATATGTTTTGAAGATTACAAAAAACAAGTTAGAAAGCGTGTTTTATGCAATGTAATTCGACACCACCTTCTCAAACATACCACATGCTGGGAACAACCACATATGTTTAAGAAAGGATTCTAACATGCATTTTGCTTATAAAACTTCATTTTATAATGGCAATACAGCTTTGGCCCTCCTAACAGGGATGAATGAAGGTAACACTAATTTAATGTTGCACAATCAAATTAGGTGAAAAAAATTGAGTTAGATTTGTTGATAACTTTTCTCCCATGGATTATATGAAAAATCACTTCATTCATCTAATTGGGTTACCATCTATAGAACTAATAATCCTGAAAATTTCAGTTTGATTGGTCAAATTGCACTTTGAGATATCCTTTCTCAAAGGTCTTAATTCTTCAGTTTGAGAAATTTAGCTTTTTAAAGCAAAAATAGTGAATAAATCCGCTATTTCTAACATCTGATAATATGTGCAAAATATGCACATACTGTTTGTAAAACATAGTTAGTCCTAATTTTCTATTTCATTGAAGTTTCCACTTTCATATGTGACACCTTCAATATCACGAAGTGCTTCCTTCCTATGTGTCTGTTGAAGCTGGATAGCCTGTCGGTGTTTATTTTCCTTCTTGCTAGCTTGCTTGTCTGCCTTATTTAACCTCTTTTTCCTTGAGTTTAAATGCATGGTTAGTCCAAGAGCCAGCAGGGGCAGAAAATCTTTCCATTATTCTTATTCTACATTTCGCCCCTTGGTGAAAATGACACACCGCAGAAGCTACAGCACACCGAACAACTTTGAATCCATGATATCTGTGCTTAAGTTAGGGCATCGAATCCAAACCATTGAATTCAAGGTCTGATTGGGATTTTGAGTTGCTCCTCTAATATATCTTTCTAAAAGTTTACTGTCAGCAAGTGTCACAAACGTTGGTTTTAAAACCTCAAAGAATGCTTCAAGTAAGCAGTTGTCATCTTTGTAAGTGCGTGTCACACTTGCCAAATCCTGTTGCCATTTACACCATAATTGTTCACCTTTCAGGTGGAAGCGATGTTTAGTGGCATCTTGAAGCTTTACACTGTGGTGTAGTGTAGCAATGTTTTTTTTTCATTGTGTAAACTGCAGTATTAATTTCTTCTTCTGATGAATTTGCACTTTTAATAGTATTTTGGCATATCACCAGGGCATAATATTTTTGAAGTTGTTTAATTTTTTCTTCTGTGAGTCTTCCACTACCTCCTATTGATTTTCCATCTGCTGATTTGCCTTTAAAACTAGCTTTCAACTTCAATAAATGTTTGCCCACACAGTCCAATTTTTATACAATGGCAATAATTTTTTTTATTCCTGATATTAGTAATCGAATGGTTTGGGGCTTTGAGATTGTTTGAATATTCATTTATTCAAATGAATGTTCATATATATATATATATATATATCAAACAAGAACGCGAAGCATTGAAAGACCTTAAGAACGATGATGATGTTATTATTCTACCCGCAGACAAAGGATGCATGACTGTTGTCATGGACAAATCAGATTACACTAATAAAGCTAAAGCACTTGTTAATGACACTAACACTTATCAGCCACTTGACACCGACCCAAGTAAAACTACAGTGAATCGAATTAACACGAAACTTAAAACCCTCAAGGACCAAGACAAACTAAGCAAACAAATTTATGATCGAGTCAGACCCAACTATTGCTAAATTCTATGGACTTCCAAAAATACATAAAGAGAATAACCCTCTCCGACCAATTGTTTCCCTTCCTGGATCCCCTACGTACAACCTATCGAAGTTCTCTCTGACATTCTCAAACCTCTGATTAAGTCATCACCTCATTCTGTCAATAATGCCAAAGCCTTTCTGTTGAAAATGAAAGATCTCAGAGTTGAACCTGATGAAATCATGATTTCCTTTGACGTTGTTTCCTTATTCACTTCCATTCCTCTTGACACAGCAAGACAAATAACCAGAAAACATCTTACTAACAATACCTCATGGCAATCACACACGCAACTTAATATACAAGACATTCTCGATTTACTTGACCTATGTCTTTCAACTGAATTCTGCTTTCAAAACAATTACTACAGACAAATCTCTGGCACTCCAATGGGGTCACCTCTTTCCAGTTTCCTTGCTGAAGCAGTGATGCAAGACCTGGAAAATAAAGCTGTGACAAATAACAATGACATCAAAACATGGGACAGGTTATGTTGATGATGTATTTGCGACTGTTAAAAAAGACAAAACGGAAAACATCTTACAAACGATCAACAACACCACCACTAAAAACATCAAGTTTACTAAAGAGGAAGAACACGGCAATAAAATCATTTTTGGACGTATTAATAACAAGAACTGACAACGGCACCTTAAACACACAAGTATATCGCAAGAAAACGCACACAGACCAAATATTAAATTACAACAGCAACCACCCCACACAGCACAAAATTAGTTGCATAAAAACACTTTTCAACAGAATTGACATGCATTGCAGCACTGAGGAATCTAAACGAGATGAATGCAAATACTTATACTCTACTTTTCACAAAAATGGCTACCCCTTGGACTTTGTCAACAAAGTACTATCACATAGGAAACCAACTAACACAGACCAAACAAACCAAACAAGAAAGAGGATCACACTTCCTTATATAAACACCACGTCGGAAATGACAGCTAGACTTCTCAGACCTTTCAACATCGACATTGCACACAAACCAACATGCAAACTTAGATCCAAGTTCACTAATCATAAAGACAAAACAAACGTAACCAAAAAACATAATGCCATTTACATGTTTACTTGCAACAACTGCCCCAACAAGTACATTGGACAAACGTCTAAGAAAATTCAGACCAGATTAACCGAACATCAAAACGCCATTAACAGACATGACCATAATTCACTCCCAGCCATGCACGCAGACAATAACAGACACAAATTTGACTGGTCTCAAACGAGATGCCTAGGACAAGCTACCACGAAACATGCCTGTGAGTTTAAAGAAGCGTGGCATAGTATAGATAAACTAACATTTAACCGCCGTATTGACATTCCTGTAATATACTTACAACTAAAACACTCACACAAAAGTCCTGTTTTGCCTTCATTAACCTTTAACCCACCCGCAACTTCCTTCTCAATATCAACTCACAATGATTGCAATCACCCGCACTCCATGGCAACCAATAACAATCCATCAGCCGAAATCTGTGATCAACCAATCAGACGTTCCCAAAGGCTTCAAGAACGAGAACAGCGTGAAAATTCAAACATTCCAACTTTCTGATGAATGCTCGAAGTACTGAGTCGAAAGCTCAAAACATTTAAATTAGAATCCAGAGAACAAAATAATTTGTATATATATATATATATTATATAAACGGCTTCTTCTCAACGAAAGCTGAGGTAGTTTAATAGCTATCAAGGTCTAAATGTTATGTCTATTGAGTATTGAGAGCATTATTTCATGCCATAATAGAATGTCATTCATTTTGTGTATATCAGAAAAATTATGTTTTTATACTCTATATATTGCTGTTATTCTTTTGCTTGATTCATGCATGGAGGTAAAGTAGGCATTCTATCTGTTTAGCTAGAGGCCAAATGTTTGACATTGCCATTGGCTTACAAACTTGTGATATAGTTTACTTTTGAAAATTATCAGTAAATCAGTTCAAAGCATATCAACATTTGCAAACAAGAATTAACAAATCTATCTTATGGCTTATTTTTTTTTATAGAAATATTAGAAATATAAAAACAGTATTTATAACTGTCAACTGACCTCTTATAGTGACCGATTTGATACAAAACATCTTCAAAGCATGCGATTTTCTAGCTTGAATTGTTGATTTGACTGTTGACAAAATTTTAAAATGTTTTAATTTGTAATGGAAAAGCAAACAGAAAAACACAAACATTAGCAGGCATTTCGAACCATGTATCACAAAAATAACGAAATATAATTTAGATCACTCTGACCCACTCCTTGTAATGGAAGTTTAACATTTTTTGTGGAAGCATGTTATTTGATACTCTGCCCTCCCCCCTTAGCCAATATATTTTTGTAAAGTCACATGACCAGCCCCAACCAGGGTCTTTCCCATAGGCAAGACCCTGGGTACAAGGTTGTTGTTTCCCTGCTCCTGATGTCACAAATTTATTCTCACATAAATTGGCATACCAGGTTTTTTTCAAGATGGCAGACGACTGTTGAACGTTTTATGAATTTCTGAAAAACTAAACGCGATAGACAATTGAAAATACATAATTAAGTATTCCGTAGGTATGTTTAATAGATATCAAGAATAAAAAAAATTACTGCCATTGTCCTTTAACAGTGCTATGTGATTTACTATCCCCATCACATACCATCCACTTGTATCTCATGTTATGCTTATCAAGGGTCCTATTCCAAAGAACAGAAGCTCCTTCAGCTTCCATGCCAGGTGAACTCCCAGTAAAATTCATGTCACACTCTCCAGAAGCTTCACGCTCTCTTTTCCATTCCTCAAATGCATCAACATTGTTTTGACATTGTGACTTTTTATGCAAACACTTTTGACAAGACTTTGATAAAACGTGGTAGTCCAACACCTCACCAGTTTCCAAAGAGGTCACAAAAAATACACCAATTAAAGAGGTGAAACCTCTCTTCGCCCAAATCCCATCAAAGCTGACAGCAACATCTAAAATACCAGAGCTACAGACTTCATCATTCACTTTCACAATCAGTTGGCGAAACCTTTGGCCGGCATGTAGTAAAACACTGACTACCGGAACACCACCATTTTGTTTGGGGTTAGGGTTAGGATTGGGGGTTAGGGTTGGGGTTAGGGTTAGGATTGGGGGTTAGGGTTGGGGTTAGGGTTAGGATTGGGGGTTAGGGTTGGGGTTAGGGTTAGGTGGTGTTCCGGTGGTGTTCCGGCGGTGTTCCGGTGTTCCGGTAGTCAGTGTTTTACTACATGCCCCTTTGGCCAGCGCTTTTCACCTTTTTATCAGCTTCATCTTCAAGGACTTCTAAAATGACATTTGGCATATCCATAACAGCACAGAATGACTGAATGAAGCAAAGCCCTTCATAGCCACCACCAGATTCAATAGACCTTTCCCCTAGGCGCCCTAAGCATGACGGTAGAAGTATGTAATTTGCTTTCGAACGAAATGGCTGCTGTATGAGCGATCGATTTCATGCGAGAGAAGAATCGGCGGATTTTTAACAACATTAAGTGTCCATCAATGTATGTTTTCTTTGGAACATTACGAGGAGATTTGTCACTACAAATGGACGGAATTTTGTGACGATCTGGGCATTAATGGTTATAAAAATCTGTTGAGAAGACAAGTTGTGAACATGCTTCACATAAGATTTGCTCGCGAGAAATTGGCCACACAAACTAAAACAGGTGAGTTCGCTTTTCAACTTGCAATCGGCTGATTAACTGATAGAGTTTCTTATTTGCTTTGTGCTTTTCGGGGGCATGTCGTCTATATTTCTCTTTCAACACACTTTAAATAATTAATTTATTAAAACCATGTTATATACAAATAAAAAAACTTTTTAAAAATTATAAAGTTGGCGGTAAAATAAATTGATTTCGCTGTAACACAGTCTTTTCAGTACTCCGCCATCTTGTTGGAGTACTGAAGAGGCTGTGTTACAGCGAAATTCGATTTATTTTACCGCCAACTTCATAATTTAAAAAAAGTTTTTTATTTGCATATAACATGGTTATAGTTTTTTATTTGCATATAACAAGCACAAAGTTATCAAGCTCGTTGAAGAGAAATGTCCCAAATATGTGTCTTATTTGATCTCTGACATATTTTACTACAGTACTTGTACAAAAGTCGTTTTAAAGGGTATGAGCAACAAAAAATTTTATTGCTTCATCTGAAAGAGCATGAAAAAATAAGCCGATTGGCTGTTTACTGTCCTATTCTATCTCATCTTGTTCCGAAGTTATACGCAAAAATGTGCAAAATATAATTTGCTGATTCAGCACGTGTGATGTCATTAGTTTATTGAATAGTAAACTGAAGCATAGCTCAGTTATTATTGGCTCAAATCAAATGAAATTTTGCATACAGATAGTACATGATGAGACACATGGGAAAATACTTCTAATTTTGCTGTCAAGGTAACACAGTCGTTCCCAGGTCCCTTACACTGATTTTGAATAACTAGTTGAATTTGTCTATGTGTATGTCATTTTCGAATTATTATCATGCAAGTAAACTTTTGGCATGCATAGGTATGGTAGACATACTTCTGACATTATTTTATTCTTATAAGTACCATGAATAAAGCTGTTTTATAAAATTGGCGCAAGGGGCCTGGGAACAACATTGTTACCTTGACAACAAACTTAGAAGTGTTTTTCAATGCGTCTCATCATGTACAATCAGTATCCAAAATTTCATTTGATTTGGGCCCATAATAACTGAGCTATGCTTCAGTTTAGTATTCGTTAAACATACTTACCCAGCTAATGACGTCACACGTTGTGCTGAATCAGCAATTTATATTTTGCACATTTTTGTGTATAACTTTGGACTAGATGAGATAGAATAGAGCATTAAACAGCCAATCGGCTTATTTTTTCATGCTCTTTCAGATGAAACAATAAAATTTTTGTTGCTCATACCCTTTAAGCTTCCTGAAATTGACATATGTTGTAACAATTTTGTTCAAATTTGCCATTGAAGTGCCTTGGCCTTGCCAAATGTTTTGGATTTGTTTTGGTGCGAAAATATACTGAATTTAAATGAGCAACACAAGCTGTAGCAACAAAATATAAAATATATTGTAGATTTTTGTAGTCATGCAGTATAAAAGTGTCTAGGTGTATATACATTTTTAAACTATGTAATATGGAGAGTGAACCGAGCACTTTGCATGAGACGAATAGTAGTGAAATACCAGTAATAATAAGGTGGGACAAGGGATTTACATGGCATTCCAGCATTTACATACAAGCGGTTAATCAAGCATTTGGGGACTGAAAATGCTGGTACAGGTGCTCAGAAACACAAGAAATTGGGTTACCAAATGTTCAAAGGCAAATATGTTGGGCAAGTCCAGGTTAAACCAAATGTCACTAAAGGGAACATGTCCTGCTTCTTAGTTAAAGGCACTGTTGATGCTTGTACATACACTGTTTATGTCCATTTAAATGAAGCAAATGGGGAGGTTGTGTATAGCAACTGTACATGTGCAGCAGGCAAAGGTAGTAAATGTAAACATGTTGCTCTGCTCTTTCAAGTTATTGAATACAAACAATTAGACATGACCGACGTTCCAGATCACCCGACCTGTACACAGCTATTACAGCAATGGCATGTACCTAGAAAAGATGAGTCAGATGAAGTTGTTCTTTATGAGAACATTGTGTTTGAAAAGGCTGTGTATGAGAAAGATGTTCAGGCTAAAAGAGAAAACACAGACAGTCGCTCCCGATATATAACCCCACTCCACATTTTTCACAAACAGTACAACAAAATGATGTTTAAAAGCTTGCCAATTCATTGACTGAAACAGATAAAAATAGCTACTTGGGCAACTTACTGAAGTCAAATAACTGTCAATCATGCCCTTTTGAGACCATGCACCTAGATTTCCCATCAAAGAAGCTACACTCTGAGTCAATGCATCTCAATATAAATAATTCTAGTGTTCGGGATAAAATATTTGAAAAATTATACCTTCCACTACAGCTAAAGAATCTGTAACAAATTGTGATGCTATCAATAGTTTAAGCTCCTTAGTTAAATTACACATGCAGAAGTGGTTCAAATTGAGCAAAACACTAGAGAACAGTCCTCAAGTGATACCTGGTTTGATGAACAACAAAAAAGGCTTACATCTTCAAATTTTGGAGCAGTTCTTAAGCGTAGAAAACAAATATTCCCTAAGTCATTATTGACGACTATTTGCAAATCAAAGCAGTCTACCTGTCCTAAACCTTGTCAGTGGGGAAAAGATCAGGAAGTGAAGGTGTAATTCAAGAGTATTACAAATTAAAAAGAAAACAGGGGGGAAATGTTGACATTTGTGCAAGTTGTGGGTTTGTTGTGAATTTGAAGTTTCCATGGTTAGGTGCTAGTCCTGATTTTTTAGTGTTTGACGAGCACAGATGCAACATCACTCGGAATCGGAAAGTCAAATGCTCGTTCTCGAAAAAGAACTTAAGCATTGATGATACTTGCAATAACAAAAACTTCTTTTTAGAAAAATTGAATGGAAAGGTCACATTAAAGAAAAGCAACAATTATTTTTATCAAATTCAAGGGTGTATGGCCACACTTGATGTTAGCTGGTGTGATTTTGTTGTTTTCACAAATGTTGACTTATATGTTGAGAGTATCTACTTTGATGACTTCTGGCAAAAAGTTGTTCCAGAGCTAAGCCGTTTTTACTCTGAATACATGTTACCAGAATTGTAATACAGAATAAACAATATAATTATATTAACAAGGTGCAATTACTATTTACTAAAACTCAACAGTTTAAACTTGTTTTTCCTTAATGATAGTTAAATAGGAGCAAACACTCCAAATGTGTTCTAAGTTCTCAGCCAATGTCAGGGGAACTACCTGATGCAAAATTTTTATTGAAAAAAATGGAAAAAAGTTTTTATTCTTACAATTGCACGCTCAACATGTACACAGACTGATGCAATTTTTCGTGTTTTCGCCTCTGCTGATAGCAGAGGCTGTCCATTTAAAAAGGGTGGAATGTTTAAAGACACTCCATTTCGCATGTCAGCCTCAATGTCGAATCCCCTATCTGCCATCAATTCATCTCTTGGTTCGAGAAGCTTTAGTATAAGTATCTGTAATCTTCTTATCACCAGTTCGGCCTGCATACAGACTAGAGATAAAACTAGGGTATCCATTGGGTGATATTCCAATTAAACCCTTCACTGTATTGTGGTTTTTGAGGGTCTCCCAGGGGTTTTGGGGGAACAAGGGAACACTGTAAATTTTACAATGGGAACACGGGAACAAAGGAAAACAAAATTAGGGAACAAGGGAACACGAAATATATTGGGGAACAGGGGAACAAAGCCCCTTTCCTAGAATATATACAAGTGGTACAATGGCCTAATGTATTGTAGATGAAAAATGGGCATAATATATCGTTTTCTCCAATTTGTCCAAC